TGTTTTTATTTTATATTGAGGGCATTTTTCCCCTGATTATATTTTCTTAACAGAAACTTACAAATTTATTTTGTACCAATGTTTGTAGCTCTGGTGGTGTAGCGCCTAAGGCATTTTGACTGTTAACCACAAGGCTGGCGGTTCAAGCCCACCAGCCACTCCTCAGAAGGAAGATTGGGCAATCTACTTCTGTAAAAATACCGCCTCAGAAACCCAAGGAGTGGTTGCTATGAGTCGAATCAACTCAATGGCAGTGAGTTTGTTTGTAATGTGTCTTCACTTGGTTTAATATTAGCATATGAATATTAGTTTCATAGTTTTTGAGTATTAGTTTCATTTGCCACTAACTTGTTTTGAATATTAAATTTGTTGAAAGGTTACCTAGGAAGCCTGTTTAGGTAGCCTGAGGAGGTTTATAGATTTCCTATGCAGTTCACTTCGCCAAACATAATTCTCAGAATTCTATTCTGAAATGTTTCCAAATCATTTCACATTTAGAATAAATAATGGTTACACTTTTAGCCTATGTCAATTTAAAATAGTTCCTTAATCTCTGAGCAGGCAAGCCAAGGTGGATTGTACTTATGTATTTTTATATTTACATGTATGTCTTTATTTATATCATGCCTTTCCAAAGAGAATTTGAGGTGGCTTACAGTAACATATATTCATGTAAAATTTAATAAAGGAAAATTAGACCCTAAAAAGGAGTGGGAGGAATGTTTGCTGATGCCAAAAGGCTAGTACAGTTGACCTACCTAAAATTCAAGTTTGGCTCTCAGTTCTAGGTAAGTAGCATACACCATTGTTTTCCTACTTGTCCAGGTATGCATTTAAATTTTGTGGAAAGCTAAAATGTGAATTTAAAAATAATCAATGTACAAAACCTCTCCACTACAGAGAGATGTGTGTGCATTCATATTTTAGTCTATTGTATTCTTTCCAAATGAGAAACTCAGAATGACAACAAAAAAACAGGTGAAGCAGATTCTGAATAAAGGATGGAACTAATTGAAGGAGACACCAGAACATTCTTCAATTGTGAACTATCAATGCAGGTGACATGCCAAAGTCACATGTCAAAATAGCAAAATAAAATGTTCTCTGCAAGGGAATGTATTTACTTCTTTGTGTCAGTGATACTCAGTTCTTGAGCCATGGGTGCATCTGTTTCATGAAAATGTCTTTGCTGTATGTAATGTTTACATGTTGGAAAGAAAGGTATCACAGTTTATAATATGTTCATTGTATATGCTACTGCCCAAAGAGGACTTTGTAAAAAGGCTGTGAGGCAATTTCCTTTAAAAAAAAAAAAAAACCTAATAATTTATTGTGTTTTCAGTGAAAGTTTACACCGCAGTTTAGGTTCCAATTCAACAATTTCTACACAAATTATTCAGTGACATTGGTTACATTCTTCACAATGTATGAACATTCTCATTATTTCCACTCTGGTTGATCTATTTCCATTAATCTAGTTTCCCTGCAGCCTTATATTCTCCTCTTTGTTTTAAAGTAATTATTGTCCTTTTGGTCATATATAGGTAATTAAAATTTTTTTATTGTGATTTGGGTGAAAGTTTACAGAGCAAGTTCATCTTCCATACAGCAGTTCACATATACTTTGTCTCATGACATTGATTGCAATTTCCCACAGTGCAACAGCTCTCTTCCCACTTCCTCCCCATAGATACCTCTTCCCTGTGTCCTTACCTCCCATGCACTCCTGCCCCACCCTCAAGCTGTCTCCT